TATTTACCGAACACCTTCTTTGTGCCAGGCTGTGCTATGTTCTAGAAAAAGCATGATATGTAAGATAAGCACAGCTTTTCTCAGTTGCCAAAAGTCTACAGGAAGCTGTAGATTCCAAGGAAATAAGCAGAGGTTAGTTTCCGGGGATTCAAGGATAGCTGGAGAGAAAAAGCAGGAGGTGGATTCTAAGAAAATGGGCAGGGAGTATGCTGAAGAGGGAAAGAGGCCAAGAGCCCACTTTCGACCTGCTATACCAGCGCAGCATCCCAGAGTGGTGTGACAAGCAGGTGAGCGGCTGTGGGACAGCAGGGTTATGAAGTTCTATCGAGACCAGAAGCTGGCTCCCCTTTGTCCCTTCCATTATATCCTGCTGGGCATGAAGGAATGTGCTGGGTCTGCAGCAAGGGAGGACTTCGCTGGAGACTCCATCGTGGGACTCCACATCAAGGAACACAGAGACACTTGACTCTCTTGCAATCATCATTTGGGGTTGCCGGTTGGCCCCCATTATCTCTACAATCTCTACATTTTCCTCCTCAGAGATGCTGATGTAAAATGATTCCTGACTCCTTTCTAGGGCCTATGAATCAAACGTTAAACTCATGCTCAATTGCATTATTTATTGAAAATTTGCAATCTCGCTCATGAGATCATTGAACTTCATGTTGACCTCACAAAGTGCTCATCATGGCAAGGAAAAAAAAAATCATGCTGACACCAAAGATGACATTGTTCAGTACTCACATTTGGGGGGTTGAATCAAATTCTTTACTTCTTTATTTAATTAATTCTTGGGGATGCCTGGGTGGCTCAGTTGGTTAAGCAGCCGACTCTCAATTTCGGCTCAGATCATGATCTCAGGGTCCTGCGATTGAGCCCTGAGTCAGACTCCACACTCATCGGGAAGTCTGCTTGAGGATTCAATTTCTCTCTCTCTCTCTCCCTCCGCCCCGCCCCCTGCTCATGCTGTCACTCTCTAAAATAAATAAATCTTTTTAAAAAATAAAATTGTTTAAAAATAAGCAGATTTTATAGGAACATGAATTTTTTATTCTCTTACATGGAAAAGTTTAATGAATAAGTATGTAGTAAGAAATAGTATGTATACGGTTACAGCTGTATTTGCTGCACATTTCAGGAGACACATGTAAGTGCCTGTCGGTGTGGGAGCCTGTCTCAACAATAATGACATTTAAACTGTTTCTATGTCTGCCATTCTGCAATACTTCAAGCAGAAAGAAAAATGCAGATATAATTGAATGACCAAGATCTTTAACTTTGCTTTCGAAGAATCTAGACAGGCAAGCATGTGTGCTCTTTGAGAAGTATCTGAAAGCCTGATGAGAGAAGCAAAAAGCAACTTGGTGAAGGATTCTGCTTCACACTGTCCACTAGTTTTCAGTCAGATTCTTTTACATTCTTCAAGCCTTGTGTTCCCCATTCTTTATTCCTCTTTTATTATCCTCATCCTCAGTAATCTCAGATTTCACACCACTGCATGTTTCAGAGGCAAGGCTCTAAACTTCTGGGGTGTTGCAGTTCCCAGCCCTTCCCGTTCCAGATACATCCAGGTGGGGTGCCAGTTCCTCAGTTTCAGAAGGGTGATGCCTCTGGTTTTTGGTTTTAAGGCTGGTTCAGATGATCAACAGTTCACTACTTCACCAGAAACCTCTCCAGTACTTAGCGAATGGGATGGTTTCAGATTGGAGGGACTGCCTCATAATTTTTATGCCTAGTTTTAAGTCTGTGTATGCACATGTCTCTTTTGGAGTAAGAAGGAATGAACAACAGAAGAGTGGTCAGAAAGTATCCTCACAACTTACAGAGCAAACGGTGACTTGGGAAGAATTCTTCAGGCCTGAAGACCCCCCCTTCACCAAAGTAGTGTTTAGAGTGAAGTCAGTTTTGATAGGGTGAGATGTAAAGCCTACCTTTGGGATAATCTGTGGTATAATGTTCTGAAACAGCTCCTACAACCATCTTTCTCATAACACAGAACACAGACTATGGCACTGGTTTAGGTAAAAATCCCTTTTTTTTTTTTTTTTGGCATTGTACACAATCTTGTGGTGGTGATAGTGGTGGTATTAATGTGGATTAAAAGGATACTGACCTGAAATTCACAGTTTTACTGAAAAACTCACTTCTGTTGCTTTTGAATACCCCTAAAAGAGAAGTCTTTCATTCTATTTCAGAATGAGATAGAACGAATACAAATAATTGCTTTCGACTTGCCATGCTGCAGCAAAGTAGCCTTTAGATGAAGAATTAATCTTCAAAACATGACATGTAACTCATTTCTCCATTTATCTCTATATTGTAGGGAACACTGGGAACACATTTAAGATTGAACCAGTCCTGGGCATCATTACCGTTTCCAAAGAACCAGACATGATGACAACGGGTCAGTTTGTCCTGTCAGTCAAAGTCACGGATCAGGGTTCCCCGCCAATGTCTGCCACTGCAATTGTGCGCATTTCTGTTACCATGTCTGATAATTCTCACCCCAAGTTCACTCACAAGGACTACCAAGCAGAAGTAAATGAAAATGTTGATGTTGGAACATCAGTCATTCTAATCTCTGCCATCAGTCAGTCTACCCTCATTTACGAAGTCAAGGATGGAAACATTGATGGGATATTTACCATAAATCCGTATTCTGGTGTTGTCACCACCCGGAAGGCACTGGATTACGAGCGTACTTCCTCCTATCAGCTCATCGTTCAGGCCACTAACATGGCAGGTATGGCTTCCAATGCCACAGTCAACATTCAGATTGTTGATGAAAACGATAATGCCCCAGTTTTTCTCTTTTCTCAATATTCGGGCAGCCTGAGCGAGGCTGCCCCAGTCAATAGCATCGTCAGGAGCTTGGATAACAGCCCACTGGTGATTCGAGCCACTGATGCCGACAGCAACCGGAATGCTCTGCTGGTGTATCAGATTGTGGAGTCTACAGCCAAGAAGTTCTTCACAGTGGACTCCAGTACCGGTGCAATCAGAACAATTGCCAACCTGGACCATGAAACTATTGCCCATTTCCATTTCCACGTCCATGTGAGAGACAGCGGCATCCCCCAGCTGACGGCAGAGAGTCCCGTTGAAGTCAACATAGAGGTGACGGATGTTAATGATAACCCGCCTGTTTTCACCCAGGCCGTGTTTGAGACTGTCTTACTTCTACCCACCTATGTTGGAGTGGAGGTTCTGAGAGTTAGTGCCACAGATCCTGACTCCGAGGTGCCCCCGGAACTGACATATAGCCTAATGGAAGGCAGCTTGGATCATTTCTTAATTGACTCAAATAGTGGAGTGCTTACCATAAAAAACAATAACCTCTCCAAAGATCACTACATGTTGATAGCTAAAGTGTCCGATGGAAAGTTCTACAGTACGTCCATGGTCACCATCCTGGTTAAAGAAGCTATGGATAGCGGCCTCCACTTTACCCAAAGCTTTTACTCGACCTCGATCTCAGAGAACAACACTAACATAACCAAAGTTGCTATTGTCAATGCCATTGGAAATCGCCTTAATGAGCCCTTAAAATACAGCATCTTAAACCCAGGAAATAAGTTCAAGATAAAATCTACCTCAGGGGTCATTCAGACCACTGGAGTCCCCTTTGACCGTGAAGAACAAGAGTTATACGAGCTCGTGGTGGAAGCCAGCCGTGAGCTGGACCATCTGCGTGTGGCTAGAGTGGTGGTCAGAGTTAACATTGAAGACATAAATGACAATTCTCCAGTCTTTGTGGGCCTCCCTTACTATGCTGCTGTGCAAGTTGATGCTGAACCCGGGACGCTGATTTACCAGGTGACAGCCATTGACAAAGATAAAGGTGCAAATGGAGAAGTGACCTACGTCCTACAGGATGACTATGGCCATTTTGAGATTAACCCTAATTCAGGGAATGTTATTTTAAAAGAAACATTCAACTCTGACTTGTCCAACATTGAGTATGGAGTCACCGTCCTAGCCAAAGATGGTGGAAAACCCTCTCTATCCACATCTGTAGAACTTCCCATCACAATTGTCAACAAAGCAATGCCCGTGTTTGATAAGCCCTTTTATACAGCATCGGTCAACGAAGACATCAGAATGGATACCCCCATTCTAAGCATCAATGCCACCAGTCCAGAAGGCCAAGGCATCATATATATCATTATTGATGGGGATCTTTATAAACAGTTTAACATTGACTTTGACACTGGGGTCCTGAAAGTCGTTAGCCCTTTGGATTATGAAATTACCTCTGTTTACAAGTTGACAGTAAGAGCCAGTGATGCCCTTACTGGTGCCAGGGCTGAAGTCACCGTTGACTTACTAGTTAATGATGTAAATGACAACCCTCCTATTTTCGATCAACCCACATACAATACAACATTATCAGAAGCATCTCTCATTGGGACTCCTGTTTTGCAAGTTGTCTCTACCGATGCAGACTCGGAAAACAGTAAATTGGTGCATTATCAGATTGTCCAGGATACTTACAACAGCACAGATTATTTTCACATAGACAGTGCAAGTGGCTTGATCCTGACGGCGCGGATGCTGGACCACGAGTTAGTGCAACACTGCATTTTGAAAGTCAGAGCAACAGATAATGGCTTCCCATCACTGAGCAGTGAGGTCCTGGTTCATATCTATATCTCGGACATAAATGACAACCCTCCCGTTTTTAATCAGCTCATTTATGAATCATATGTGAGTGAATTAGCCCCCCGGGGTCATTTTGTAACCTGCGTTCAAGCCTCTGATGCAGACAGCTCTGATTTTGACCGCTTGGAATATAGCATTTTATCTGGGAATGACCGGACAAGCTTTCTGATGGACAGCAAGAGCGGCGTCATCACCCTGTCCAACCACCGGAAGCAGCGGATGGAGCCTCTGTACAGTCTCAATGTGTCAGTCTCTGATGGGTTGTTCACTAGCACCGCACAGGTGCATATCAGGGTACTCGGGGCTAACCTGTACAGCCCTGCCTTTTCCCAAAGCACCTACGTAGCTGAGGTGAGAGAGAACGCAGCTGCTGGGACAAAGGTCATTCACGTTCGAGCCACAGATGGGGATCCCGGGACATATGGACAGATCAGCTATGCCATCATCAATGACTTTGCCAAGGATCGATTCCTCATAGACAGCAATGGACAAGTCATCACAACGGAAAGGCTTGACCGGGAAAACCCTCTGGAGGGAGACATTAGTATTTTTTTGAGGGCCCTCGATGGCGGAGGGAGAACGACTTTTTGCACCGTGAGAGTGATTGTTGTGGATGAAAATGACAATGCTCCCCAGTTCATGACAGTGGAATACAGAGCCAGTGTCAGGGCAGACGTTGGAAGGGGCCACTTGGTCACTCAGGTTCAAGCCATGGATCCAGATGATGGAGCAAACTCAAGGATTACTTATTCTCTGTATAGCGAGGCCTCGGTCTCAGTGGCTGACCTCCTAGAAATCGATCCTGACAATGGCTGGATGGTCACTAAGGGCAATTTTAACCAACTGAAAAACACAGTGCTGTCATTCTTTGTCAAAGCAGTGGATGGGGGCATTCCAGTAAAGCACTCACTCATTCCTGTCTATATTCATGTCCTGCCCCCTGAAACATTCTTGCCTTCATTCACCCAGTCTCAGTATTCTTTCACTGTTTCAGAAGATACAGCCATTGGGAGCACAGTGGACACCCTGAGGATTTTGCCCAGTCAGAATGTCAGGTTCAGCACAGTTAATGGGGACCGGCCAGAAAATAACAAAGGGGGTGTCTTCATCATAGAGCAGGAAACAGGCACAATCAAACTTGACAAACGCCTCGATCATGAAGTCAGCCCAGCATTCCACTTTAAAGTAGCAGCCACTATACCCCTGGACAAGGTAGACATTGTGTTTACCGTGGATGTAGATATCAAGGTACTGGACTTGAATGACAACAAGCCAGTCTTTGAAACTTCCAGCTATGAGACGATCATAATGGAAGGGATGCCTGTGGGCACCAAACTCACACAGGTGAGAGCCATCGACATAGATTGGGGAGCGAATGGGCAGGTCACTTACTCCCTGCACTCGGATTCCCAGCCTGAAAAGGTAATGGAAGCCTTCAACATTGACAGCAATACAGGCTGGATCAGTACCTTGAAGGACCTGGATCACGAGACAGATCCCACCTTCACCTTCTCTGTGGTGGCCTCCGACCTCGGAGAGGCCTTCTCTCTTTCGTCCACGGCTTTGGTCTCTGTCAGGGTGACAGATATAAACGACAATGCACCAGTCTTTGCCCACGAGGTGTATCGAGGGAATGTGAAAGAGAGTGACCCTCCTGGCGAGGTGGTAGCTGTCCTCAGCACGTGGGACAGAGACACTTCCGACATTAATCGCCAAGTGAGCTACCACATTACGGGTAAGTCAGCCACACTTGGCTTTCACTCTGTGTGCTCTGCTTTCTCAAGAAAGGTGGGAAGTGGCAGGAGGTAAGAGTTGGAGAAAAGAAGGGAGATGAGATGGGGGTTGAGAGTAATAAAAGCTCTCTAGGGCTGGGTAGAATATCTCTGAGTAGGCACGGTTTTTCAGTTGTTGGTTGTTGCTAACTCAGCCTTAGTTTGGAATTCATTCCTTTGCCTGTGACAGATTACACAGATTTGTACCCAGTCCTTGAGCCACTGTATTATTTAAAAAGGAGTCCAGCCAGGGCGCCTGGGTGGCTCAGTCGGTTAAGCAGCTGCCTTCAGCTCAGGTCATGATCTTGGAGTCCTGGGATCGAGACCTACATAGAGCTCCCGGCTCAGTGGGGAGTCTGCGTCTCCCTCTTCCTCTGCCCTCCCCTGAACCATGCTCTTTCACACTCTCTCTCTCTCAAATAAATAACATCTTCAAAAAAAATTTTTTAAATAAATAAATAAATAACTAGCTGAGCCCAGTAAGATTGACTTACAAGTTTCGCCTGGTAGTGAAAATTCCTATGCATGCACATGTACACACCTGTACCAGTTAAAGGGCATGGTTTGACCTTTTGCTAAAAATCTTAAGTTATAACTCTAAACCAAAGAGTATTTCTCCCAACAACTCAGTTTACTTGGATCCCTTTTTGGTCTTTCCCAATAGTAAGTAGCGGTTCAGTGGAAAAGCCAAAATAGACCAAGGAAGTCACCCAGAGTGGACCAAAAAAAAAAAAAAAGTCACTATTTCTGAGGGGCAGAGGATTCCATGTCTGTGTCACTCATCAGGGGTAGCTTCCTGGGGGGTGACTGGCTTTAAACTGCAAGGGGGAAGGATGGTGGGACAGGAGCATTCTTCCTAAAAATGATTTAAGCGTTTTAAAGCTAATATTTTGATGTTGTGACATTCAAAGGCAGAACATAAGCAAAGTGCCAAAAGATTTTAAAGAATCCATCAATACTTGTAGTCAGGTGGCTTCCCTTTAGAAAAACTACATTATTCAGAGTGAAAAATGAATTAATTAGAATGCCCTCAGGACACAGAATCTGCTTAAGTACGTTAGTGGGAAAGTTAATTAATCACTGCAGAATAAGATCCACAGGAGAGCATATGTGTCAGTGGTTGGGAGCGCCACTCTTCCGCATTACTCCTGTCCTGTTTCTTCATGGAACTGTTTTCCTGATGGTGTTTTCTGTTTAAACTCTGTATGCATTTGTGCGTTATCTGATACCTTCCCTTTTTTTCATTAAAATGTATATTTCTGCAGAAAAGACATGAGCGATAGTGGCAAGGGAAGAAACGTGAGTAAAGCCTATCTTACATTTATTTGCATTCAGTTTCAGACAAAAAGCTTTTTAAAGATTCTGAGGGATACTTTCTATTGGAAAGGCTTGCTGAGTATTCAGCTTTAATTATTTATACTTTGTCTCTGAATTGTCAATGGATGATTTAAAGGGACCCTCCCCTCAACTTTACCGAAGTAATGAGAACAGAGTAGCTTAAAGCTACCATTACTATTAGCAGTGCCAACCACCAACTGATTTTAATTAGATTTAACTTTTGCTCTTGATCTAACACAACTTGGCTGTGCTACCGCAGCTTAACAGAGGACCATTAATCATTTTATTTAACAAAAGATGTGGGCCTGCACTGAAAGCATTTAATAGAGAGGTTAAATTTGTGCATGCTAAAGTAATATTCAACTGAAGCATAATTGAATCCTAGGCGGTGGTGGAGGAAAGCGATATCCCAGGGAGGACCCAGAGCCTAGCCAGAGCAGGTTTCTCGACCTCCACACTATTGACATTTGGGACTGGATGAGTCTTTGTTATAGGCGGCCATTCCGTGCATTGTAGGATGGATGACTGCAGCATCTCTGGCCTCTACACAAGAGACTCCAGTAGCACCACCCCCACCCCCGATGTGACATTCAAAAATATCTCCAGATGTTGACAAGTGTCCTGGTTGGAGGTTGGGGGAGTTACACAGCCACTCCCAGCTGAGAACCACTGCCCTAGAGGAATATGCCGCCCTCATCATTTCTGCACCGTCTGCCCCCAGTATGGTCCATTTATCTCATGGCTGTCCCCCATGGCTGAGGCCCCTGGACTGACCCCACCCCCACACCTTAGAAGTGAAGGTGCAGCCTGGCCACGAAAATTCCCCTACTTCACCCTCAGTCCCTCTGGTCGGACCCAAGTCTTTGCCCTCTGCTCTTTGAGAGATTCACTGTAAGAAGCTGAGATGGCTCTTTCTTTTTGGCGGAACAGAAGTCAGGATGCAGTATGCTTTCCTGATTTATTTGTTTAAGGTTGGTCTTCCCCCACTAGAATGTGCACTCCACCCCGGGAGTGGGGATGTGTGTCAGTTTTGACCGCTGCTTCAGCCCTACTGCCTGGAACAGTGCCTGGTCCGGAGCAGGGGGTAGATACTTATTGAATGCCCAACGAAACGGCAATGATCTAACCAGATCCCGGGCTTCCTGCCAGTTGTCTCGTCCAGTCTTCCTCCATGTTGCAAGAGACACTGTTTCCCTCTTCAGGATTAGAAGGTCAAGGCAGCTCTCTTCTCCCCTCCTCTTCTTGTCTTGTCCATGCAGCTTTTGTCTCCAGGTAATGTAATGATGTGGGGGAGTAATATTGCTGGGACCACTGTCGGTGGTTTCCTATAAGGAGCTTTCTACTTCATCTCTTCTCCTTTTCTTCTGCTACCACCAGCTTCACTCGTTCCATGACCCCTCGTTAGGGCCATTTAATGCTGATGGGTCTTCCTCTGTCGCGCAAACTTTTCTCCCCCAAACCCCCGTGCTTGTAAGACACACGCAGCTGTATGAGAGAGCCTTCATTAAACGAGTCCTTAATAGAACTCACTGCCTTCCCTTGATTGCATAATCAACAGCTAATGGAATTGTCTTGGTAACGAGAGCTGTAGTGTATTACATCCTCTCTTGAGACAAAGTGGAAAGACAATTGTATCATCCAGGGAAGAGGATTGATTGTTCGCAGTTTGAATTTGATTGTCCTTCAGGGGGACTAAACAAGAGATCATCTCCAGCTTCTCTAAGTGCATTCTGTTCTCTTGGAAAGTTACTGTTTTACGTTCCTCACAAGCCAAGCATATAAATATCATGCTTTGTTGCAAGAGAATCAGAAGGAAGTGACTGCCAATTTTTTTTTTCAGTTTTGTAAATGATACAGTCGGAGGACCAGCTGGATGACCCCACACAGGCCTCTCACTGGAGGTGTAGATCAAAGCTTTTCATTGCACATCTTCAAAAACGCTTTTTTCACTACAGGAGGGAACCCCCGAGGAAGGTTTGCCCTGGGCCTGGTGCAGAGTGAATGGAAGGTCTATGTGAAGAGACCTTTAGATAGAGAAGAACAAGACATTTACTTCCTCAATATCACTGCCACCGATGGGCTTTTTGTCACACAGGCCATGGTGGAAGTGACCGTCAGTGATGTGAATGACAATAGCCCAGTGTGTGACCAGGTGAGATTTGCGCATATATCTCCTATATATGGATGCTTTTTACTCTGCCCCTCTAAAGTTAAATCAAAACCCATTTCATTTTTCTCCTTAGGGCCAGGCTCCTTTATGCTCTTCTCTCCTTAATTTAGTGAACTCCATTTGGATGCAAGAGGGTAGGAAAAGACATAGGTAGCAAGTTCAGGTACCTAATTTTGCCCACCCCCCAAAAAACAAAAACAAAACCATAAGTCTTAAAATTAAATAATGTTTAAGGAATCATAAAGGACCTTAGAACTTATTCTGTCTAAATCACTGATTTCATAAAAAGAAAAATGGACCACTCAAAAGCATAAATTGTTGGTTTTCATAAGTTTACACAGCTGGTTAGTGGCAATGTTCGTAATGAACCCAGGTCTCCAGGCAACTCACAAAGTAGCTTGTCCATCACAATACAAAACATGACAGCCAGTGCAAGGTGCCAAGAGCAAATTTTATTTTCTTCCTTAATGAAATTAAATCACTGTTAATTTACCTTTTCCTTACTATGTGGACCAAGAGACAATATTGGTATTCTGTAGCTTGGAAAAGTATTGCAAATAGATTGAACCTATCATACGCATGGCAGATGTGAGTAGGGGCTCTTTAAAGAGTGAAAGGGCCCCAAGGACTCACTGGTGCTTAACAGAAAAGAGGATCATGATCAACCCGTAACACGTGTCATGGTTCCACAGAAGCGGGACCTTTGTCTGTTTTCTTCACATTGTACTCCTGGCATCTAAATCATACCTAGCACATAGAGGGACTCAATCAGTATTTGTTGAATGAATGAGATTGGCCAGGCGGGAGGGGGAGCAGGGCAAGAGACATACCATGTTTCATCATATATTGTAAGATGGTTCTGTGGTGAAGGGAAAAATAGCCAGAGCTAAATTACATGAATGCATTTTTAAAGAAATCATTTATAATGTGAAATATGGCAATCCCCTGCAAATACTAATGACTTCATTACCTTTCTTTATCTTTGCCAGGTTGCATATGCAGCATTATTTCCCGAAGACATTCCATCAAATAAAATCATCTTGAAAGTCGGTGCCAAGGATGCCGACATTGGATCCAATGGAGATATACGATACTCACTCTACGGATCTGGAAACGATGAATTTTTTCTAGATCCAGAAAGTGGTAAGGTGAAATGTATTCTTTGGGTAAATGCCACTGTTAATCCATGAGAGAAGTTAAAACTCTCATGTGGTCTCATCACTAGTGGGTAGTTAGTGTACAAGATCCTCAGTATGATGCCCTGCTCTCTAGGACTCTAAGAAATACTAGTTACACATGGTGTCTGAAGATGGGTGCTCTGGAGCACACAAACTGTATTTGGCCTATAGAATTTGCCTTGACTTTACTTACATTTATTAGCATCAATAATCAGATGTGTCTATTTGGTTCTCCTGTTTTTCATATCTGTGATTTAAGCATCTGCTCTGTAAAGAATATAGAGTTACATCATAAATGTAAGTTGCAAACCAGACAGCAGGGCATAGGAAGGAGAGTTTTTCTCTCTTGAAATCCCTTTTGGGCCCCTTCCCGATGCTTATTAATACACTTGTCTGGTTTTTATTAAATATTCCTGCCTAGTTTCCCCAAAGCTATGAGCCCTCAGATTAGCCTTTATATTCAGGCAAAATTTATAAGGTCAAAGGCTAGGTATGCTAAAGGCAGATGCCCACATTGAAGGCCAGAGCTAATGGAAAAGACATTTCTTATGGAGGTACATTATTTCAGTGTTGTGTACTGGATGGTTCATCTAATGGCAATTTTTAAATGAAGTGTAAAGATCGAATAATTTGCATATCTCCAATGTTGTGTTTGGTCCTAATGAATAATAACTAACTCTTGAAGTCTCCAAAGATGATGGCTCCTCCCTGTCCCTCTCCCATGTCAGCTGGGTCCTACTGGGAAGCACTTAGCTACACAGAAATATACTACTTGGCTACATAGACCTAGCAATTATTTATTCAATAGCTAACATTCATTGAGTAACTAGTAGACATAAAAGCACTTTATGGGATATTTGTGGTAGGCTGCAAGATGAGTAAAACAAGCCATGCCCATGGGATATTGTAAGCCAGCGGAGAAGACAGACCAGTAAGCTAACAATAATAATAATAATAGTAATAAAAGGCAGAATGAAATGAGTGCCCAAGAAGGACATCAGGGGAGTTATATCTGGGCACAAGGGAAAAAGGAGGAATATGGAGATCGAGCAGAAATCCAGTAGCTGGTCTGACAAAGGGGAAGAGGAACTTTTAAAGAAGAGCTAGCATCTGAACAGAGGCAGGATCCTAGTAGCTAAAGCAGGTTCCTGCAGGCTGTGGGGGCAGCAGAAGCAGAGAGCCCAGCACAGCATAGCCGAGGAGGGCCGCGTACGATATTGTCACTGGTGAGAAGAGCTGGGGAATGGCTGGTGAGAAACATGGAGGGAGAAAGGACTACAGGCCGGTCATGGAGGGTCTCAGAGACCCCACTGAAAAACCCCTGAAGGTTTCAGAGCAGGAGAAAGAAATAGTCCAAGCTGTGTTTGACAACTGGTGGCAGCAAGGAGGCCATAGAAGGAAATGCTTTATAAAACATAGATGGCTTGGTCTGAAGAATGTCTACTAATTGAATTTAAGAATAATAATATTTCATGAGTCATACTTTTCACCAAATCGCGTTTATTCAGGTCTGTCACTGCTGGTTGCCATTGTCTGTTGAAATTTAAACAACCACCACCAATCTCCACAGGGGCTGACGCCCAGGGGTTAAAATACAGACATGAGGGCGCCTGGGTGGCTCAGTTGGTTAAGCGACTGCCTTCGGCTCAGGTCACGATCCTGGAGTCCCGGGATCGAGTCCCGCATCGGGCTCCCTGCTCGGCAGGGAGTCTGCTTCTCCCTCTGACCCTCCTCCCTCTCATGCTCTCTGTCTCTCATTCTCTCTGTCTCAAATAAATAAATAAAATCTTAAAAAAAAAAAAAATACAGACATGACTTACTGCCTCACCTTGCTAAATTCCTGCTGATCCAAACTCCTCAAATATTTTCCCGCCAGGATCCTCCCCCCAGCAACCATAGGCCCTTCTATAGCCAGGCAAGTCAGGTTTACCTTGGCACAACAGGATTCCTTCGAGACCTTTTTCTGCCAAAGCCCAGCCTCTGCTTTGATTGTTTTCCTCTAAATGATGGAGTAAAAAGATGTTGAGTCTCTGGAAGCAGAGAGACTCCCCCTTCTGGGTCTGTGGATTATTGACATGACTGACCATCAGAGAACTTAAGGTACTTGTCCATTCTCTAGGCTTTTTCTGGAGATTGAGCAGAATCCAGAGACATACATACCTGCTCTGGAGACCAGCTACTGGATTTCTGCTCGATCTCCAGAAAAAGCCTAGAGAATGGACAAGTACCCTTAGTTCTTGAGGTCTTGAAAGGTTGTAAGGGGCATGGAGCTTTCTAAGGTAGCCAAAAGAAGGAAATCCTGAAACCAGAGGTTTCACAGTGGGATTAATTAATTTGAAGGCCACACAGTTGATTTGTTGTTGCATCGAGAATCCCGTAAATTTTTCCCTGATGCTTGACATTGAATTTGTTCTGTTTTTTAAAGTATGAGGCACTTGAACCAAATGTCATTGGTCCTTCCTGTGTTGGGGATTCTTTATATACTTGATTCTCTGCTCTTCAAAGAAAGAGGGTTTTTTGAAAATCCAGGCTATTTATTTTCACAGGTGAGTTAAAAACTTTGGCTCTTTTGGACCGGGAAAGGGTCCCTATGTACAGCCTGATTGCCAGGGCCACTGACGGAGGTGGCAAGTTCTGCCAATCTGACATCCACCTGATCCTGGAGGACGTGAACGATAACCCGCCTGTGTTTTCTTCCGACCACTACAATGCCTGTGTCTATGAGAACACAGCCACCAAGGCTCTGTTGACCAGAGTTCAAGCTGTGGATCCTGATGTTGGTAAGTCAGTTGCATTGATGGGAGGCTGCCATGTTTCATGTGCTTGACATATCTTCACCTTTCCTTTGGTGTCACCAGCCCACCTGGTTTCCTTAGCATGAGAGCATGTGCATTCAACCAATGACCACGTGTCAGCTCTTCTGCTAATACACTTCACATGCGTGAGAGAACTCTGCAAGATGTCCTCCCCACCTCTTTCTAGGGTTTAAAGAAGTGATAAGACGAATTTCCTTGCCTTTTAACAAAGAGTTTGGGGTTTGTTTGTTCTTTTTTAACCTTTAGAATAAAAATAATAGCTTTCTTACTTGCCCATTCCTCCTGAACATAGTTAAAATGCTGTGTTGTGTGACAGGGAGAATTCATTTCCATTTCTATAAAGAATTACATCACATGCTTCAGCTGAAATAGGACAATCTCAATTTATGGGAGTGCCCCATAGTGCAAAGAACAATTACTAAATGGGCTGCCAGTCCAATGTTAATTTTTCTTAACTGCCATTTTCCATAGTCTTTTGGTCACATAGCTCCTGACATTACTAGGCAGAATGAGGGTGGTGGAAATAAGAAGGAATTCAAACTAAAAGTTGCTAATAAAGTTTTTGTTCAAATCCACTTTGCATAATGAGATGGTGAGTTAGAAAAGACTGGAGTTAATTGCTAGGTAGTCCTCTTGAGAATGCATAAGTTATCGAGGTGACTGCATGATGGAATGTAAATACAAAAGGACATATAGACAGCCTCTTGGTTGTGCATTTTAAGAGCTGTAAATCAGAGGACTAGAGAATGATGGGGTGTGTCTGCTATGCTAAACAGGCCTTTATATAATTCGGTGTCTTATTGCTTAATTCTGAATTGAAAGAAAAATTATTGGACTAATGGAAAAGTAAATACATGATAATTAGTTGAAAACAAACGTAGAGCCCGGGGTCTCTGCATATTTCCCCTTCAAGAAATTAGTGGCTACTTTAAATTATTGCTCTTATCTCATTAGCATAATTTTCCAGGCTGAGAACCAACGCTTTAAAAGTCTGCATATTATGTAAAGCTTGGTAAAAAAAAAAACAAAAACAAAAAACGGTGAGCAGGAAAAGAGTCATTTATTGATTTATAATTATGGAATACCTACAGATACTCTTTTTTTTTCTTTGTAACTGTATTTCAAGTTCCCTCCAAAACAGGCCCCAGGATCACCCAGGTTCATGTGTGTCCCTGAGCTTGGTCCACCGCTGTCTTGTACAAATATTCTTTTTTAAAAGAGCATTAGAAAACATTCTCTGGGGGTGTGTGGGTGGCTCAGTCAGTTAAACGTCTGCCTTCAGCTCAGGTCATAATCCTGGGATCCTGTGATCGAGCCCCGTGTCAGGCTCCCTGCTCAATGGGAAGCTTGCTTCTCCCTCTCCCTCTGCTGCTCCCCATGCTTGTACTCTCTCCCTCTCTCTCTCTCAAGTAAAATAAATAAAATCTTAAGAAAGAAAGAAAGAAAGAAAGAAAGAAAGAAAGAAAGAAAGAAAGAAAGAAAGGGGGAAGGAAAACATTCTCTGGAATCTTATTAGCAGACTTTTGGGGTGGGAAACAGAAATTATGCAAATAAATCTGTTAATAATTTAAATTTGAGAATGTGTAATTGAGCCATAGATGAAATTTAAAGATTAATTTTTTATTTAAATTAAATTAAAATCCTAATTGTAAAAAATTGAAATTTTTTTTCTTTTTTTTTAAAGATTTT